GGCACTTCCCTCTGGCTGCTCATGCCGTCCATGGTGGCTCAACTGTCAGTCAACAGGCATCTATCACTTCTCTGCCTCCTGATGAGCATACGCGAACAGACTGGACACTCTCGCAGCCTCGATTCAGCTTGAGGTCAATGCAAAAAGAATCAATTGTTATCACGAAGATGCAATATTCATAAGAACGTTGCACACAGATGGAGAAATGATCCAAATTTTCAGTAAGGAAAAAAAAAGAGAAAAGAAAAGCAAGACATCAGGTCAGTTGGACCTTCCAGCAGCAATGCATGGAGCGCATGGGGGTGGGTCCGCTTTTTGCAAATGGGTGCGAGTTCTCCACAACAATGCCTGGGACAAGGTGCAGGTGAAAGGTTTCATGTCGGATTCATACAGAATGTCAAGATCAGTGAGGCAGGCGACCCCGCTGTTCCTGTTCACGATGGAGGAAGTTGCTGCATTCCTCAGAAAAGACCCCTCGATCGACAGACTGGTGGCAGACCCGGACAACCGACCACACCCGGTGCACCTGCCCTAGACCATCCCGTTCGCAGACAACCTCACCATCGTCATCCTTGCCTTCAACTCCTCCTTTGAAGCCCTTACAATGGCAATGTTGACCTTCCAGATGGCATGCGCATCAACTGGGCCAAACGGATTCATGGCGGCTGACAGACACGGAGACCCCGTAACCTGCCAATTCCCTGAGTGGCCTGCGATGGACGGAGTGGAGCGCCCCTCTCAGATATCTGGGTATTCAGGTAAACGAGGAAGGACCCTCTCAAGCACAAATCGCGGTCCTTCTCTCCAAGATGCAAGTGAAGCTTGACTCCTTGTCCATGTGTACATCTCCGTCTTCGGCAGGGCACTTGTCCTCGATGCCTCGGTCTTCTGTGTTCTGGTACACCGGCACAGTGTGGACCCCGGGGGCCCCCCTGTGCAAGGACCTCCGCAGAAATGCAGCTGCCTGTTTGTTGACCGGCGACCAGCTCCCCGCTCCTTTATAACAGAAGTGGCGGGGCAGACCGTGACTCAGCGCAAGAATCGGAGTGGCTTGGGCATCCTTGACCCGGAGGTGCAGATCAAAGCGCTGCAAACCAAATGGATCCTGAAACTCCTCACACAGCCGGAACTTCCATGGCACTCCCTGGGACTGCGCAAAATCCACCAACTTGCCAGGTACACAGCACTAAATATCATGCGGGGACTATTCTGGGTGATGGCTGAATCTTGGGCCGACCGTCATGCAGGGGAGAGCTGCCCCCTCAGCGCCAGCAGTGGGCCCTGAGCCCCCGAAGCATATTGGAGCCACCTTCTCAAGATCTGACGGGAGATTCATCCACATAACATCCGTAGACCGGGCAGCCGGGAGGAGGTTCTCAGGCAGCCATTGTTCTCCAACGAGTGGCTTACCAACCCGCTGGGCACACCCTGGATGTTGACTGCAGCAGACACTAGTTGAGGTAGCTGGTTGGAGAAAGGCGTCTGGCAAGTGAAACACCTCTGAAACAATGATCATGTCAGATGGAAAACCTACTCGGAGCTGCGAGCGACGCTCCGGGGCTGCCACAACCTCCAGGAAAACTTCAACAGCATGTTGCTGTCCATATCCACGGAGTGGAACGAACTGCTCCTCGACCCCGACACCTGGAAGGTGAGGGACTGGGCCACGATGGTAACGGAGGAACACACAGCCACAACACTAGCCTTAGCCACACGGGCGAACCCTACAGGCAACTGGCTGCTGTTCGACATGCACAACATCCTCACCTCAGGTCTTACAGTCAGCAAGTTAGCGCAGCCAGCATCAGGTCGTGTGGCAATCCAGTCAGGGGCTCTGCACAAAATCCGAGTAATCGGAACAGAAGAGCGCATTGTTTTTGTGCCCACGACATCCATCTAGGACCTCAAGATAGACCCAGTGGAATGTTCATGAAGGATGCCCTCGAGGGACCCGAGTGGAGCAATCCGACACGTTGGCTTGCTCCAATACACCATTAGACGAGGCTACTGCCTCCAAAGACAACGCGTGGACGTTTCCAGCCTCGTGGCCGACGATGGGTCCGGCACACAGGCCTCGAGCTTCCTGGAGCAGCCTGCCTTCGTTGGGAGAAGATGCTAGCCATTAGGAACACCAAGGACATACGAGGGAACAGAGGATCGTCAGCTCTTACAGATTACCATACAAGACAGGGTTAATAGATTCTCCAGGGCCAATAGATACAGTCCATGATTCACGACTTAGGGTTGGCTATCCTCCTAGTACGTAGCTTAGGGTTGAGGCTGGCATAGCAGTTCCTTAGTACGGGATGTCGGAGGTGTCAGGAGATACAGCACCTTACGGCAGGGCCGGAACAGGCTCCAGGGATATACGAGGGAACGGAGGATCCCCAGCTCTCTCTACCATCAACACAATAGAACACTGTAATAATAAACACATGACTCAGGGTTGGCTATCCTCCTGGTACGTAGCATAGGGTCGAGGCTGGCATAGCAGTTCCTTAGTACGAGATGTCGTGGTTGCCAGGAGATAACGCCACCTTACCGCGGGGCCGGAACGGGCTCCAGGTATATACGAGGGAACCGAGGATCCCCAGCTCTCTCTACCATCAACACAATGGAACACTATAGTAATACACACATGACTCAGGGTTGGCTATCCTCCTTGTATGTAGCATAGGGTTGAGGTTGGCATAACAGTTCCTTAGTATGGGAGGTCGGGGGTGTCAGGAGATACTGCACCTTACCGCGGGGCCGGAACGGGCTCCAGGGATATACGAGGGAACGAAGGATACCCATCTCTCTCTACCATCAACACAATAGAACACTGTAGTAATACAACATAAGGATAAGAGATTCAAAATCATAACTCAAGACTCAGGGTTGGCTATCCACCTAGTACGTAGCATAGGGTTGAGGCTGGCATAGCAGTTCCTTAGTACGGGATGTCGGGGGTGTCAGAAGATACTGCACCTTACCGCTGAGCTGGAACGGGCTCCAGGGACACACGAGGGAACGGAGGATTCCCAACTCTCTATCATCACCACACAACTGTGCTAGATGGGAGCCACTGTGCACCCTCGTGAAGACCTGTAGTAGCATGTTCATACCTAGCTCCCGAAGTCCCCGGGCAATCGGGCTTGCACGGCGTCTGCTTCAACTAGGGCTGAGCAGGGGGATAGGTGTCTCTGCTTAGCCTGGGTGCCTGCATCCGCTGTTTGGTCAGGTCACCCCGCGAAGATGGTGATGGGTGATGGTCCCGGGTGGTTAAAACTAGGGTAGGACAGGGGGGGTGGGGTTGCACCAGGGCAAAAAAAGATGAGAGGAAGGGTGGGTGGGGTCTTCAGAGGGGTTCAGCTGGACAACCGAGTAGCCGAGTACTGTGGGTGACTGCCATCGGTCTAGTATCCCACCTCTACAACAACCTGGGCTTAAAAAAATAATACAAAAATAATTTAAAAAAAGGAAAACCAAGGTGTGAAGCATGCAGTGGTTGCTGGTGCATCTGGCGTTGCCGGTTAATCAATGGCTCGTCCAGCACAGAAACCCGCACCATGTGCAGCCCCTTGACGATTGCTGCCCACGCTGTTCCCCCGCCCTGGTGGAGGACATCTTGCACTGCTTTTTGTTCTGCCCGGAAGATTTCCCCGTCTGGGACCGCGTGCAAAGCCTTTGGACAGCGCTGACCGCCCTCACCTTTCCGGACCAGCCCCAGATCCATCTGACCGGCTTGGCATCTCTGCCCTCCTTGTCCCCTTACCAAAGTCTCCTCTTCATCAGACTGCAAACACTGGCTCTCCAGATTATATGGAAGAGACGGTGTGCAGCTGTCCTGGGAAGCTTGCAACAAGACCCCTGCCACTCTTTAATAGAACTGCTCCAACTCCTGGAGGCGGAATACTGGTTTGACTGGAAAAAGACTAAACACGACATCAGGCGTAACCCGCTTAAAAGTGAGGAGACCAGGAAGTTCCATGAACAGACACTCAGCTGAGGAAAAGTAGCCGTCATTGAGGGCAGGCAGCCGCAATTTCGGTGGCCACCAGGCCTACGCCCCCCAGCCGGGTCAGGAGCTTGAGGAGGACGCCGGAAGCCAAGAGCCCGTGGACCCACCCGCCTGGGCCGTTGCTTCATGCCGAAACCCCGCCCCGACCATGGGGGCACGCGGCCACAAGGGGACAAAAGCAGTAGGAGACCGAGTGACATAGACATCACGACATACTCACATCGGGGGTCTTTGCCCAAGTCACTGAGCGCTGACTGTGTAGCTGGGACACTGACTGCTGGGGTAAGACTGGTCAACCCCCGCCCTGGAGCCTCCCAGGGGCGCTGGTATTGTGCCGGGAAAGGACGGACCAACCATGATGGCCCCTGATTAAACCCTTGCCGGAGGACAGAGCCAACACGCGGGGCTCGTAGCGTCTTGGGGGGCAGGTAGCAGCTCTTACCCTCCCGGGTGGCGAACAGGCGAGGCTAAGGTTTAGGGTTTTCAGAGGCGGCCGATATAGATAGGGCAGTACCGGATGCTCCCTTAGATTAGGGCTGGCCCTGGTCCTGCGTTGGCCCAGGCAACCGAACTGGCGAAGCGTTCGCATGCAGGGGCGATTCTAGCGAAACTGGGTAAGGCTCCCAGTAATTAGTCCTCAAATTGATGTAACAGGGACGCTGGACCCGATTTCCAGCAGGTGTTGCTCCCCACCAATAGACCGGAGCTGTCCGCTAGAGCCCCTTTGATCCCGGTGGTGCGCATATCACCGCGGCACCGCAGGCGGCCACAATTTTTTTAATTTTTTTTTGAAAAGCAAGTCAATCAAAATCAAGAGCGCATGGGTACACACTGCCCACAGTAGGAAACGACTGGCAAATATGCAGCACAGTCGGATTGGATTTTTTTTATTTTTTTTTCAATAACAAAACACAGTACGATTTGTCCACCCAGTGCTTTACTCATTCCGGAATGATTGCTGAGGCAAAATACACTCAATTGGCTTCCTTGTCTTCAGACCATGCAGCGCCTTGACAGGTGATGGAATGGACTCTGTACTCAACTGGATCATCAGCACTCCAGACATGACATGGAGGAAGGAGGTCATCTAGCGTGGAGGTGTATCCGAGACGTAACGCAATAGCTCCTCTCGATGTCAATCATGCAGTGTATCGATTCCCCCATTCTCTGACATGGCATCCCGGAAGGGGTATGGGGTGCTGTGCTGTGCTCTGCTGTGACATCACGACGGAGCGAATCATGAAAGTGAGAGCAACAGAAGAACGTTGTCAGATCTCCAAAGGGCCAAAGAAGGCACGTTAAACCACCATTCGTAATTCTGGAAGTAGCGGCGTACATGCTGCCAGCCATTGCTACAGTGCCGCGACTTTTCCACTTGAATGAATTTGTGCCAGCACCCCAGGCCCGTTCATCCCAGCATGCCGGGGCGCACGCGTGCCTGCGGCTTTCAGATGTACTGGTGATCTGAAGTGGAGAAAGAGTCGGACATATATAGGTGCAGCTAGGGAGCTCATAATGGCCAACTTATTGCTGTATCAGCAAATCGTTTTATGACTTCAGTGCGCATTGGGACTTGCTTTGAATGACATTGTGTGGCTCGTTTATTAACATACATTCTTATATACAATCCATGGTCCCGAACGGTTGTGGACTCTATGGAGGCATGCAGGAGCTTGCCATCCTTCTATTCAGCTGCTGTGAACGCACGCCATAGTCAGATTACCCTACAAGTTTGGAAAACAAAATTGGGGATCTTACAATCCGATTTTCTAACTAGCATTTGCTTTCCCAAAAAGGGGATGGCCTCTGACATTTTATATGCAAACAGAGTTGGAATTCTTGATTGGTTGTCAACAATCACATATGATGTGTGGCTTTCAGCCACAAGCATAGCACTTTTACGCTAGCTGTCCCTAAGGGCAATATCACCACCGCAATACCTTGTCAATGATGATGCTATTCTCCCAGTTGGCAGTCGACACCTTACATTGGCTGCGAGTGTAAAGGAGTAATCAATGTTAATCAATGTTAATCAATGTTGTAGTGCTCTGCATATAGGCCTTGCTTGACCCATTTCTTCTCCCCTAAAAGACCAGGTCCTGCAATCAATCGAGAAATGTGCGACCTCGGAGGACATTGCGTACGCCTTCCCGACTTTTTTCTTTTTCTTTTTCTTTTTCTGTTTTACCATAACTTGTAGTTCTTATAAGTTATTACCACTATCATTTTCAAAAGCAGAGAGCGCACAGTATCCCCTCCCGTCGCCTCAAATACTTCCTTATGTGGTAGAGAACCAACTGCTCCTGCCCTAGACATGACAGAGACCAAAACCGGTCTTCCTCTTCCTAAAAAGTACAGTCTCAGCCACTGCATACCCAGAATACTATCGTTCGAATGCACCAGAAGTGGGACTTAGCCTTGGCTGGATGAGAAACAATAAAAACTAAATACCACCGGACGTTCTTCTCCTCATCCTTGGCAATTTTTGCCAGGGGCGCCACCACCAGCGAGGCAGCATGCATGACGCTGCTCGACAGCATGCCATAATCGCTCCTCTCCTTCCTCGATGTAGTTAGCAAAGAGGGATGCGTAGGAATTTTAATGCTAAATCGTTGCCTCCAAGTGCCCCCATACGCGTACTAGAAGTGACCATGCCCGCCCAAGGCAGACCAGCACCAAATGATGAGTGGGTTCTCAAACCACTCCTAGAAAAAATGACACAGTGGAAAGACAAACGTACCTTGCTGCTTGGGTGGATGGTGGTCATCAACACCATGGCACAAGTCAGCAGTCTGGGCCACCGGAAAGACAAACGTACCCAGTCTGCCACCCACACTTTGATATGAGGGGGGGGTTTGAGCGTGAAATATGCCGATAGGGCCCGTGCCTAGGCAGAAATAGTCTAGGGCACGATGGCGCAGGCCGCTGATTGTATGCTACCGATCCCACAAAACCCCTCCCTGCTAAGTCTAAGATTGCCCCGGGGCCCACTTTGCTTGGGCTCACACTGCGGGTGTCGCAGCAGGCCCGGAGTCGTTCTGTTTATCGTTGCGACAGAATCGTCTCGACAAGCGAATATAAGTCGAGTAGCCATGACCCATCCACTTTTCTTGGCAAAGTTGACTCGGCCGACGAATGGTACTCACTCCTTAGTGGATTCCAACGTTCACGAACGTGTTTTACAAACTGTAATCGGAGCAGCGCCCTCAGAGGTACCTGGGTTAACGCACAGGCTGGCGCGATCGGGGAAGCGAAGCTGTCGACGGAGAGATGAACCTTGGCGGAGGTCCGGCCCTGGTGCATTCGAAGAAGTGGGAAGGCGGAGCGGAGAGGGAGATAAGTGCAGCGGGAGGGAAAAGACGTAGCTCCCTCGTCTCCTATCGGATTTGAGCAGGAGAAAGTACTAATCCGAGACTCTTGGTGAGGGCGAATGCGGTGGTAGAACCACTTCGTTAGTAAGTTAGTAAGATAGCAGTGTCGAAAACGCAACATGCGCGAAGGTGTCGGGCTGAAGGCTATGGTGGAAAGGGAGTGACTACTCCATCCGTTTCCTAACGGTTTGGGGCAAGGGAAGGTGCGAAACCGGGGGTTTGGTGTCGGGCGGTTTCGAATCAGATGTGAGTTTGGGTAAAGAGTCAGTGGAGTAGGCACTACCAAGAGTACGAGGTGCGCGAGAAGGTGTGGAAGAAAGGAGCTATGGCAGGAAAAAAGGGGATTACTCGCCTGTTTTTCGAGCAAAACAGGCGAGGAAGGATAGCGGGGGTTTTGGGGCCCTGCGAGCGTGATGGAGAGGTTAGTTTTAACTATAGATTAGTGAATTAGTTAATATAAGCCTTATAGGCTGCGCCTAGCGGTATATTATTCGATATCCTCGCCGAGAGTTCGGATGCAATGCTCGTTCCGTTTCGGTTGGTATCACGGTCGGCATGATTTCGTTGGACCACGTTCAGGAAGCCAAGAGAGAATAAGGATGTGGAGGAGTTTCAGGATTGCACAGGCTATAAGGGTGTACCTGGCTCTCTTCGTGCAAAAGGTTCATAACGTTTAGTTTACTCCAACGAACTTCGAAGAGACAGCGTATCTCTTCGTATTTCGGCGGCAGAGTCATTGTGACCGGCTCAGCGAGAGAAGGAGAGCTACCTTACAGAGAGTTGGCGAGTGCGGGATGAGCCGGAGGGCGGGCGAGTGTGATGAACTGCGCTGGTTCTGGTCTGATCCCAACGAGAGCTTATTACGACTTCTGCTCGTCCCGCTATACAGAACAGCAGGACCGGAGGATTACCTGCTTACTAAGGGGGCTGCCCATACAGGCGGACGAAGCAACAGGAGACAGCAACAAGGTTGGAGACTTGTCGCTTAGCAGAAGCACCATTTGTGTCATTTACTGAAGTGGCGGAGCTTGCGAACCAAGAGCGTGTAACCTGCCTGCTGGTCTGTAGCGGTTGGCTAGCGTACTGAAACATGAGGAACGAGCCAGGAGGCAGGGGGTCAGTGCCTGCGCACACTCGACTCGCTTCCCGACAGGGCAGATTGTTGTCATTTGGCAGTGCACCGACTGCTACAGGTTGCTGAGCGTCGATTGTAGGGCCATTTGATTTAACATAGACTGTTACAGGTTGTTGTCTGCCACCATCAAGGAGTTGATGTGCCGCCACTGGCTGAGCATTGTTGTGACGTCATGTATTGCTGCTGCGACCTGGAAGGTCGCCAGGTTACAGTCGGTGGTTGATTTCAGTTTGACCGAGCTGTTCTGGACCTTGACCGCCATTGCGGGGCCCTCACGCGTATCGAGATTTCAAGGCCCTCTCCTGCGAGTTGAGTTGTCTCTCTCTTGTATCTCGAGAGTCTGAAACCCCTTACCTTCTGCCCTTCTTAATCTAAGTTTAGTCCTGTTCTGAGAGGAAGGCGGCAGGCAGGATTGCAACCCGTAGGACCGCAACAAGACTCTGTGGGGAGTTTGCCCACTGATTGCGGGAGCTCTGCCGGAACTCAGAAGGAGTTCTGGGGGCAGGGAACTAAGAGATAAAGTTTCATCTTCCTTCTATAAACCCAGTTATAACCCATTATTTGTATTCATGACTATGTTTTGACTGAGTATACTGAGTGCATCCCTATTTTGACTTTCAGTTTGACTTTCAGGATATGATCTAGACTAAGTAAAGGAATGTATGTGCAATGTCAGTTTCAGTTTTATTGTTTGACTGAAAGCAGATTGTGGGATTGCATCTGAGGGAAGGATGGGAGGAAGGCAATATTGCTTGAGTCTGACTGGGTCAATCAAAGGCTGGGCAAGTCTCCATAAGTTTGGGGAGGCCCAGTGCTATGTTTATTTTTGGATTGCTTGGAGAACCAGAAGTTTGGGTGGTCTGGTTGCTCTGAATTGCGAGGGCTGACTGTGATTGACTTTTCAGGGACCAAGCATGTTCCATAAGTTTGGGTGGCTTTGTCACCTTGCTTACTTTGGGTTTCTTTCAGTTTCTTTTGGTTCTGAACGAGGAGGTCTGAGCATGTTCCATAAGTTTGGGTGGCTCAACCTCTTCCTGCTTTGGCTTTAAGAGAATGAACCAGGCTGAGGGCCAGACATGTTCCATAAGTTTGGGTGGTCCTGGTCCAAATGCCACGCACATGCTGGAAACAAAAGGTTATAACTTGACTATACTTTGTTATTATTCTATTTATGAACAGGCTAGTCAGACAGTGTTTCATAAGTTTGGATGGTCTGACTATAGTTTATCACAAACTGAAGAGAGTATTGATTAAAAGTAAACTTGTGGTAAGAAGGGGCAGGCTGGATCTTGAATTAAAGTTGATCAGTTCAGCTATATGCAGCCTTAGAAAACTAAGTGCAGACAATTAGATATAACTTGGCTATTTTAAATAGTTCAGGGCGACTAGGGTGACCTAGTCATGTGCCCAAGGAAGAGAAAAGTTGTTGTGCCCTGTGTTTGTGTATACTCAATGGTTGAGCTAGACATGTTCCATAAGTTTGGGTGGTCTAGCTTTATGCCCTATGTAAGTTGGGTATGAAGGGATAAATCATTGAAAGACTATGCACTATTGTTTGATAAGGTTAACTTTGGGCTAGTGAAAGTACTTACTTTTGTGGTTTGGCCTTGCATGTGACTGAGTGAGATTACTACTTGGTCTGAGTTTCTGTTTGATAGGTAGTTGCTTTAGATGCTCACCACGTGCTAGAGCCATCAGAGGTAGCTTCAATTCTTGCATTTTCTGAGCAAAGTTTATTTTACTTAGGTCGATTTCTGTATTTTCTGGGATTATTTATTATACTTGGTCTTGTATAAATCTTGGTAAGTTACTTTCTCTACGGGAAGTGCTGCCGAAATTTCTACAACACCAAGGAGTTAGTAAAATTTTGTCTTTTCAAAGTTCAACTTGTC